ATTTGCCCTTTTTGGGCCGATTTTCCAGGGCTGAGCGACATTTTTCAATCTTGATGAGTTTTTATTCATTGCTAGAGGAGGTAATGAGGGGAGATTAGCTTCTTACGACCACTTCCCATCGTATGAACAGATGAAAATCAAAGATGTTGAAATGTACAGCTCAATCTGTAGCTGATAGCATACGGCATATTCCCTCCATAACTTATTAAGCGTGCTATATTTAAAAATCACTTTTTGTTCTTATTGTTCAGTCATCTATGGCTTTTTTCCATCTTTGTTTACATTATATTTAAAGCCTAACCAACCTGCAGGCTGTTTACTATCACTGTATTCCTGCTTACAGTGCTTTTCTGTGTTAAGAAAAGTATTAAATGTCCGTTTAGTCAAGTTAAATAAAGTTAAATTTTAAAACACTGCCACAAATCAGCTGAAAGAGAGGAATATTAACTTAGTAGGTTATTTAGTGTTCAGCTTTGGTTTTAATAACACCTTTTTTACATAAACTGCAATTTTGTTTATTTTTTTCCCTCGTAATATTTTATTGACATGATGGACATTATATCTGTTTAAATATACTGAAACAAATCAGATTTTCTAGTTATTGTTTACATGAAGCTATCGTCTGCTGGGAAGAAACATTAGAAACACGTCTGACTGGAAAGTTTAAAACCGTTATTTCTATCAAAACTGTGTCAAACTAGATCACTCAGTCTAAAATGTACTAAAATATTGTTTTGATTTTTTACTTTTGTTAGACTAATAAATCTTTACCTGCTGCTCTGTTATCCAGGACAGCTGTGATCTCCCAATAAACTTTAGAAAATCAACATATTAGAAAATAAATCATAGCTAAGAGGAACAGTTTCAAATAAAGAAGTCAAAGTCTGAAGAAAAACTACATGATGGCGAAAATTTAAAAAAGCTGACCTCTTTATCAACAAACATACAAGAACAAAGAACGACCTCAAGTTAACAGAACAATCCCTTTAAAGTAAGAGACAGATGGACAAATAAATGTTGAATTTATGAATGTCTGAATGAAGAACTGAGGAGTGAGCTTGGTTTTCCCAGCAGATTCCCCGGAGAGGCTGAGCAACCCGAATCCAGACCCTGGGGCATCAATCTTACAAAAAAAAAAAAACCCTCCTTTTTCCATCCCGCCCCGGCTGAACGCTGCTGCAGACACTTTCCAGGGCCTCGCATGAGAAGACAGGGGGGAAGGGCAGGGAGGAGGGAGGAAAGCGAGGGGGAGGAGACAGCCCGTATTCCCTGGAGGAAGGAGTGATTCACAGCAGCATGTGGGGAAGGAAGTGACTCATGTTTGGGGCTCGCGCTCGCACACAAGCCCTGTGTCTGACGTTCAAAAAAAAAAAAAAGAAATAAGAGCATGAGTTTAAAACGTCCACATGTGTGGATGGCAGGAAAGAAATCCTGGGCGTGCACGCAGAAAGGACGGCGTGTTTATGCTTCCCAAGGCCCGTCTGCACAACAGTAAACAAAGGACGGCAAACAAGCTGGAAGTCAGGTCCAAACAGGACCAGAAAAAGATCTGAGCAATACCGCTTTACGTGGGCTGCTTCCCGGCAAAACGGGCTTTTAAATTCTTTCAGCAGTCAGCCTCACTTAAACAACAAACTCTGATGTTGCTATGGTAACCAGGGGTTTAATCAAAAAGGATAAATAGAGCAGAAGCTGAGAAGTAAAGTTCCAGGCAAAAGGCTACAAAAAGGGATATCGGTGATTAGTGAAAGTCTGAAACCAGAACTTATTTCCTTCTTTCCTCACTGAAACAGAAATTTAAATATCTATTTTTAAGTTTATTATCAGATTAGATGATGGAGATTAAAAAAAACTAAAACGCTTTACTAAAATACTTCAAGAGAACAGGAAGATATTTTGGAAAAACTTGATTATCTTTAAGCCTTTGGCAGATACTTCCATCCAAAGACAAACATGACATTTTAATAATATAGGTACTATTAAAAGCAAAGCTCCACATTAGCATGTCTGTAGAGATGGTGGTATAAAATATAGTAAAGTAGAAGCGGGCTTCTGTCAACTCAAGGTAAATCCTGGATGAAGGGAGTTAAAAGGGAGTTTTTCCTCTCCACTGTCGCTGTGGGCATGCTTAGTGTGAGGGATTGCTGAAGAGTCAATGAATCGATGCAATCAACTGGTTTTCCTTATAGAGAAAATTTAAATCAATCTGACTGGATGATCTGGTGAACTGGAAAGTGCCTTCAGATGAAATGTGTTGTGAATTGGTGTTATAGAAATAAACTGAATTCAATTGAATTGACTCACTGCATACACTGCAAAAAATATAAGATAACATGAATTTTTCCTTGATTTAGGGAGGTTAGACAATCACCGATGAAATAAAATGATTTATATTTAAAATAAGAAAAACCAACAAGTCCATTCATTATCTTATTGCAACACCATGATATCTTGTATTTTCAGAAAATAAATATTCTTTCCATTGGTGGACCATTTTTTTAATGGCTGCCGTTCAATCTTTCCATGAAAAGGAGGAACATTTAGTACAATAAATGAAGCCGATTGGGTGACATGCTAGCTAGTACCCGCCTTCCATGATGCGCTTTCAGCCAATCGTAGCAGCAGAGTAAGCTGAAAAATCTAACTTTTTCCTAATCCTGTCAGAAGAAAAGCACAGACATCTTTCCATATCTACGAATTCACAAAGTGCTTCTCTTTGCTCCTTTTTTAAATGAGAAATTTTCGCAATTTTAGCTAAAACTGAGTCATTTGCGGTAGCCATGGCGTAGCCGTGTTTGTAATGCCTCAGCAGGGCCCTTCTGATCGTCATCATTCCTACATGCCCCGCCCCAAAAAAACTGCCGGCATGTCATTGGTTCGACTCACTGGAGGTCATGGGACGGACGTAGTAGCGGGAGTCTTTCATGATGGATTCAGCTTCCAGCTTCCAGCGCAAAGTTAGATCATCTTAT